CGGAGAACTTACTGATGGAAATACGTTTTGTTCCCTTTCGCAGAGCAGAGACGACGTCTTCACTCCTATTGCGAACCGATCACGTTAAAAAATTGTCAGGTTCAGTTAAACAAATTCAATCCCCAGCTGAAAATCCTGCTTAAAAATGACACCCAAGTTGAATCATCAGACATGAATACTGTCGGCAGCCAGGAAATACAACTCAATGAACTTTCAGAACAGGATGAGTATGATAAGGTCACCATCAAGGCACAGATCATTAAAGTCAATGAGCCTAAAAAATTTGGTCCAGGAAATCTAAAGCAGGATGTCATTATAGCTGATTCAACAGCCACTGCAAAGCTTATGCTATGGGAATCAGATGTAAACATGCTACTTGAGACCAAATCTTACCAAATGAGTCGTAAGATCGTATCTACGAAAAAAAACTTATCAGTTCCATCTACTGGCTCTACAATTGAAGAAACAGACGACCTGGAAAAATGCAATTGCAGAACCCGAATCTTCAAGCGACGACGATGAGTTTCTAGCAGCTGTTACTGTAGCAGGAGTGCAACAACTCGAAGCCTGCATCAACTGCAAGAAAGGGATTCCTGCAGCATCTAAGGGCACATGATTTCTAAAGACAGACGGACAAATCAACTCTGAAGACCTGTTGTTTGCTCCGCCTTTCGACATCAAATACAACAAATACCACGTAATTACCCATGTATCCAGGAAATAACTGAAGCAACATCATCAATTTCAAACAACATCACCAATATCTCAGTCTCACCCATCATCAAATCTTTCACTCATCACAACAAATACCACGTGGTGTCTTTCACTCTCCACCAATGATGTCAAAAGAATTATGCCTGCGCAAACTAAACTATGTACATGTCTAAAACTTTAAAACTGCGCTGAGGGTTTGCACTTCAGTGCTCTAGTTGGGTCTGTGTGTCTGTCTGTTACTCGTCATCTCACTTGTCGAGTGTTCGTTCGTCTCACAAAGGACACCACCTACTGAATGGGCAATGAAGGTGCAGCCGTTAGCAAGTTTGAAGAGTGAAGAAAAAAAGGCTATTTGTTGTTTTGTTTGGGGAGTGAAGAAGTAATTGTGCATGAGGCTATTGGTTGTTGTGAGTGGAGAAGTAATTTTAAAGATAAGTGCCTGAGGCTTGTGGTCGTCATGGAAACAATGTTACACACATGCGTACCAAGTTCCATCTCCATGCGTGGTACCGTTAGCGAGTTTGAGGAGTCAAGAAGTAATTTTAAAGAAAAGTGCCTGAGGCTGTTTGTTGTTGTGGTCGTTATGGAAACGATGTAATACACATGCGCACCAAGTTTCACCTCCATGCGTGCTACAGTTAGAATGTTTGAAGTAATTTTGCTCATGGAAACGATGTTGCACACATGCGTACCATCTCATCTCCATGCATGGTACTGTTAGCGAGTTTGAGGAGTGAAGAAGTAATTTTAAAGAAAAGTGCCTGAGGATATTTGTTGTTGTGGTCGTCATGGAAACGATGTAATGCACATGCGCACCAAGTTTCACTTCCATGAAAGAAAATGGCCTGAGGCTTTTTTTGTCGTCATGGAAGCATATAGTCGTGATGGAAATGGGATACTCCTTCAGATTAAACACCCACAACTCAAAAACGAAACATATATACAGTAATGAAAGTTTGTAATATCCGTCATCCGAATAGACTGGTCATACTTATTTCTTTGTAAACGACATTGTTTACTGTAAATAGCCCCAGGCAATACATTATAATGGGTTCACAAGCGTCAGTATAACTCACAATTGGTAAGAGCTATGTGAACCAAACTTTCTAGACATAACGCATTCAATTACCCACATCAAAATCACAACATTACATACAAATAGCCTCAGGCACTTTTCTTCTTCACTCCTCAAACTTTCCAATGAAACTTGGTATGTAACCCTATTATATCATTTCCGTGACGATTACATGTTTCCATCATGACCACATAAAAGCCTCAGGCAATTTTGTTTAAAATTACTTCAACTGGCTAACTGTAGCACGCATGGAGGTGACACTTGGTGCCCATGTGTATTACATCATTTCCATGATGACCACAACAACATATGTGACAGGCTCTGAGAAACGACCCTTATGGCACAAATTAGTTAAATAGCCCCAGGCAATACATTATAATGGGTTCAAAAGCGTCAGTATAACTCACAATTGGTAAGAGCTATGTGAACCAAACTTTGTAGACAATGCATTCAATTACCCATATCAAAATCACAACATTACATGTTTGTAAGCAACAACAAATAGCCTCAGGCACTTTTCTTCTTCACTCCTCAAACTTTCCAATGAAACTTGGTATGTAATCCTGTGACGATTACATGTTTCCATCACGACCACATATTTGTTTGAAAAAGCAATTTGGTCTAAAATTACTTCTTCATTCCTCAAACTGGCTAACTGTAGCACGCATGGAGGTGACACTTGGTGCCCATGTGTATTACATCGTTTCCATGATGACCACAACAACATATGTGACAGGCTCTGAGAAAACGACCCTTATGGCGCAAATGAGCTAAATATATTTTGTGCACTAGACCGAAAGTCCCATAAATACTCTATAGTTTGCCGTTTGTTTCAGGGGCGTAGCCCGTTCCGTTGCGAAGTTATGAGCACAAATGCTAGTGCCATTCTAACCGTATCTAAAGTTGAACTAACGGTGTCATATTTCAACCTCCGTATTATCGTAACAAGTCCGTGTTACAACATTACGCGCGCGCGTGCATATTTCAGGTGAAAATTCAGGGAAAATCACAGGTGAAAAGTCAGGGAAAATCAATATCTTATCAGGACAGTACAGTTTATATTGACAGTATTCTGCATGTGTTGCTTTTGAGTAAGCTAGGCTGGAACAAGGCCATGTAGTAGACGAGTGATCCTCAACAGTAGGGAGGTTAACCAGACCCATGACAATCAACAATGATGAGGGAGAGGAATTTGTGGAGCTCGTCTCTGGTGAATGGTTCCTTGGTCCAACTGTGCACTCTTGACCGAGGAGGGAGATCGTGACTGCTGATGTACTGCCTGGCGTACAGGTTTGTCTGTTCGATTATCTTGTCGAGGATGCTGTCGGTCAGTAGCATCTTGAAGAGCTCCCAAGGGGGGTTGCATCAGGGCGTGGAGGGTTACAGCCAGGTGAAAATGTATACTGTGCAGGAGGGGGGGGTCAAGGGGGGCAGCTGACCCCCCCTTCAACCACAGCTTCGTCGATCTGGCAGCCAGAGACCCCACCACCGTCCACCAGGGCACGACGCTGCAACCACGAATCGCACCGCGCTCCGCGCAGGACCTACTCTAAATAACGCACAAGTGCAAAGGTCATGTATTGTAAGGCCAGGGCACTCCAATTTCTGGACACGGGATCGTGGAATTTGCACACATGCACACATTTACTGTCATCATTTATGATTTTGCATTGTACTGAGAAGAAATTCTGTTAGTCCTCGAAAGCAAACAATTTTTCTGGGGGGGGCGTGTCCCCTAGCACTTACCGGACGCGCGCGCGGGAGTATTGAATTTAAGCGTATACGGCCCGCGCGTGCGCATAAATTGCGTGCGCATAAATTATTTCCGCGGACGGAAAATTTCCGGGCGGGCAACGTGTCTACTATTTTTTGTCGTGAGTGCGAAGTTCGGAGAGTTGTGGCGCTGAAACTTTATGGGGAAGAAAAGGAAGGTTATTGGAGTGCAGTCAAGGTATATTCGTCATGATATGTACTGGTATATGATGGATGTGACAGGATACAAAACATAGGTTTCAGATAAACGAGAAAAAAGGGTATGGGAGTGAAGGAACAGCTAGATAAGGTGACAGGGAAGAGCAGATACATCTGGTAAACCAGTAAAGGCAGCAGGGAGAATGGATTTGTTCAAGTACGTGGTCCGCGAGTGTGATATACTCGGAAACATTTTCCTGGGTGCAAGTGGGGGTGTCGGAGCATGTAAGACAGAAGTATGTCGTTGCTCTCCTCTTACTCGTGCTGCTACAAACACGACAATCACGCCGTGTCGATCCACTCCCATCATGTTGTTGTTGTACAGCTGTACCACCTGGGGTTTCTCCTTCATCTGTCCTCTCCTCGTCTTGACCTGGACCATGTTGCAGGACTCAGTTGTGGAGAGCATTGTGATTGGACGCTTGTCCTGCCACTGGAGGGCTATCATCTTTCCTGACCGGTACGCTTGGACTGTCCCATGACTCAGTTTCCTCCCACCTTTGATGGCCTGTGGCATTCCTCGCCGATTCACCTGCACGGTGCCAGTAAAAGCCAGTCCCCTCTTCTCCAACTCAGATGCCAACTCTGGTGACGAGTAGAACCGGTCAGTGATGATGTGGTGGTGAAGTCCCCCCAGTGGCTGGGTGAGTGTCAAGACGACCCGAGTTGTCTGGAGAAGATTCGGATCTGAGAGGAGGTCGGTCTCACACCCAAAGTAGAATCTCACTCCATGCATGTACCCCGTCTCACTGTCGGCCAGAACAAATGCCTTTATCCCGAATGGGTGAGGCTTCCCTCTGATGTACTGTCGACACCAGGCCTTCCCTTTGAACGCCACTATTGTCTCATCCAGAGCAACAAACTTTCCTAGCTTGAAGGCAGCAGAGAACCTAGGGCAAAGGAGGTCTAGGAGGGGCTGAACTTTCTGCGATCGACGTTGGAGTGGGGAGATGGGGTCGCAGAGATGAAGGTTCCAGAATATCTGGAGGAATCTGTCGCGGGGCATCACTGATCTGCAGGTAAGACATTTATTTGTTGTTGTCTGTGATAATTATTTTATGTTTACCTGAAGAAGCTGAGGTTCAAAGTCTCGTGTACACTCCAGTACTCCTTTATGTCAGACAGCTGCAGGATTCCCATCATGAGAATCAGCCCCATAAAGGCCATCATCTCTTCCCTGCAGGTGTCATGCCAGTTGGTGAGCGTCCCACGACGGGAAGGAGGAGTGGTGCGGATACGGTGCTGGGCATATTTGTTGGTTTCGTCTACCAACAGATCCCACACGTCAGTAGGGAAGATCTCGCTGAAGAACATCTCCGGGGAGGCATCAGCTGGTAGATCTGTCTGTGGCCCAGTGGGTTGTCTGAAGGGAGGCCATTGGGGAATTGTGTCAGTGTCTGCAGCGTTAGAACAATGTCACATTTCATTTTACTGACGAGTATATTCTACACATCCTGCAAAAATTCTTTACCTACATTTACTTCCTGCCAATCATATTCTACTGGCCGAGGGCGAGCCCTTCTGACAGTGGTCCTACTCGGCCCAGGAGCAGTGGTTGGAGCTGCAATGTCTTCCTCGTCCGATGTGTCATCACAAAACTCTTGTGCAGCTACATCTTCACTCTCCATGCTTCCATCACTGTCTTCACTCTCTGCATCAGTCTCTACTTCATCCCACACTTTCATAACACTTGCTGCATCCATTGTTTACTACGCACTTCCACACCGCACTTGTACGCGGTAATTTCCGCACAGGCAGCTGTACAGTACCGCCCACCGCGCGCCGCGCGCGTAGTAGGTCAGAGTTCAAGCGTTGTGGAGTTGCCAGAAGAAGGCTGGGGGGCTGGCTGGACGCTTATGGAGAGCGGTAACCAAATAAATAAGAAGCTAGGATAGGCAGAACCTGCATGTATCACGGGTGAGGCATACGTCCGCGCGGAATCATCGCGCATGTAGCGCCTGCAGGGCATACGTCCTGCGTAATATAAACGCTGTGTCTACAGTACCGGTACCGGGACCGCGAAATATTGCGCTGTAGTACCGGAACAGCGCCCGAATTCAAGGTTACCGCCTACCCGTCGTCCTGAAGAACCGCGGCCGCGATGGCCACCCCCGGACACCCACCGACAGCCTCTACCAGCCTTGTTTCATTCTGTGTTGGCGAGCTCTTTCATAGTTTCACCGACCTGGAGGACAAAATCAAGTCTTACAAGGAACAGCACCGCCAGTTCGCGCGGGCGTGTGTGGTATGTCGGTTTCCATAATACAATACAATGTGAAACAACTGCACACAAATGATACACAAAACGCAGATCTGCTACTTGGCTTTTGCAGTGCATGACCTACAAAACCAATTCTTACACTTAGGCTGTCTCACTAATCCAACACATTTGAAATGAAACCAAAGTAAGCATGAATCACAAATAATAGATTGCTCAAAATGGAGGTTGTGGTGACAAGAATGACAGATCCAGGCCATGTGAACAGATTTATGCTTGAAAACCTCTTGAACCAACATCCAAGCTTCAGTTGTAAAGTGTTTTCGGGCAAGGTGAATGTCCACATTCTCATCAAGAACGGAATCAGGCAACCTCTCAGGCTTACATTCGACATCTTCCTCCTCTATAAGATCGTTGTGCTTCAGGGCTCTTTCTGCCACTTTCTCATCAACAAACCATGACAATATAACTATTGGATAAAAGCGAAAAGCATAGCCAACACATAAAATAATGCTCGTAACACTATACTCATAATGTTACCTTTCTCTTTTTCAGACACGTGCAGTTTGCTCAAACTGCACGGCTACTTGTAACGTTGAAGTATTATGAGTTGAAGTACTGCTGTATTCACGGGGGGCAACCGTTCAAGGCCAAAGGCAGAGGGATTAGGAGTACTTCGTAAGCCATAATTATACCTACTCATGCATGTAGCTAGTGCCTAGTGGTTGTCATCGATCGCAGGACTTTCAAGCAAGGCTGCCCTTTCTACATTTCCTTGAGAGTGAACGTGGACGGTAATGCACTTGAGGTGAAGAGTGTTTGCCAAGAACATAATCATGAAGTCTCCATGGCAAGTTATTCCTGCTGCTCAGCTGCTCTGAGGCTTTAGTGGTCACATCTGAGCTAGCTTCGGTTGCAAGTGAAGCTTCACACGTGCATTTTCAGCGACGGCTTGATCTTCTAGGGGATTTAATTTCACACTGGAAAAGTGCACATGAAGTCACCATCACTGAAGTGGTTACAGGTATGTAACAATGGTTGTGTGGCTCCTACAATTCTGTGTGTCTTGAATATTTATAGATGAAGAAAGTGAGCTGGAGAATGACAAGAGTGACGACGATTTGTTCCTCTGTGGACTCTGAGAACCCCAGCAACCATGCATCTGACGAACAACCTGGACCCAGTGGTTTCTCCAGCAAGGAAATCCCTCAGAACTGTGATCCCTGTGAGGATGACGAAGAAAGAACACTAGGTATTATTTTAGCTCTTACATACTCGTGATAAGGGCCAAATGTATATATGAGGGGGATATTTTACTTTCAGGGCTAACTGTGCCTCCACTAGTCAAGAAAAGAGGACGTCCAAAGGGGCATGGGTTAACAACGATTGGCCTTCCAGCTAAACGTGCTAGAAAAGAACTTCTACGTTACAAGAAGCCGTGCAGTTTTAGCAAACTGCACGTGTCTGAAAAAGAGAAAGGTAACATTATGAGTATAGTGTTACGAGCATTATTTTATGTGTTGGCTATGCTTTTCGCTTTTATCCAATAGTTATATTGTCATGGTTTGTTGATGAGAAAGTGGCAGAAAGAGCCCTGAAGCACAACGATCTTATAGAGGAGGAAGATGTCGAATGTAAGCCTGAGAGGTTGCCTGATTCCGTTCTTGATGAGAATGTGGACATTCACCTTGCCCGAAAACACTTTACAACTGAAGCTTGGATGTTGGTTCAAGAGGTTTTCAAGCATAAATCTGTTCACATGGCCTGGATCTGTCATTCTTGTCACCACAACCTCCATTTTGAGCAATCTATTATTTGTGATTCATGCTTACTTTGGTTTCATTTCAAATGTGTTGGATTAGTGAGACAGCCTAAGTGTAAGAATTGGTTTTGTAGGTCATGCACTGCAAAAGCCAAGTAGCAGATCTGCGTTTTGTGTATATCTCATTTGTGTGCAGTTGTTTCACATTGTATTGTATTATGGAAACCGACATACCACACACGCCCGCGCGAACTGGCGGTGCTGTTCCTTGTAAGACTTGATTTTGTCCTCCAGGTCGGTGAAACTATGAAAGAGTTCGCCAAAACAAGGCTGGTAGAGGCTGTCGGTGGGTGTCCGGGGGTGGCCATCGCGGCCGCGGTTCTTCAGGACGACGGGTAGGCGGTAACCTTGAATTCGGGCGCTGTTCCGGTACTACAGCGCAATATTTCGCGGTCCGGTACCGGTACTGTAGACACAGCGTAATATAAATTTATGTTACAAATATGTGGCAGACGTCCGGTAAGTGCTAGCTAGCTTACCCCTCCTTCAAATGCTGGATCCGCCCCTGCTGTGGTATCTCCGAAGTGGGATCAGGCTTCCCTACCTCACACTCCCCACCGATGTCGAGGTCTGCAGCATTCGTCTCTGCTGGGACTGTTCATTGTCGTCGTCAATGTACCCCTCAAAATCATCGTCACTCAATTCTTCATGATCAACGTCTTCCATCATCTCAGCAACAACATCATCCAAACTGTAGAGCCTGCCACTTGATGTTGATGCCACCGTTGCAGCTGCTCGTTTACTATGCTTACGCTAGTAGCGGTTGCAGGGGTTGTAGCGGTTGCTAGCAGCTGTGCAAGTAGAAAAAAAGGGGTGTGCCACCATCATGAAATGGGAGGAGCTTCGTTATTTGTCCTACTAGTGGCGACTTTAGTGGCTGTCCCTGCTGGAGCACAAGGTAGATGAATATCGCGCGACATAAATATATGTAGTACGCGCTGGCTAGATATACCGCGCGTGCATAAATATATGAAGTACGCGGTAAGAGCCCTAGCCCTAGCCCTAAGCACTAGTCCCCTACTTAGTCCGTATACCCTAGACCCAACCCTACTTAGTCCAACACTTAATAAGATTCGCCCAAATTGCGTGGGAGGCACTGTCGCAAATCGCGGAATTTCGCTGCTAGACGAGTCCCTGGGCTAGCGCATGGTCTTCCGACGCCCGCATTTGCGCAGCAAAACTAGAGTAAAGTATTTCGTAGCCCCTTTTTGGCTCTGGGCATGCGCAGTAACGCCACAGCTTGACGATTTTGCAGGAAATGAGCTCTTACAGGAAATTGTTATTGCCTAAATACTTAGGGGGTGCAGTCTGAATGAGACGCGACAGTGTTGTGATTCGTTTCAAAAGCGATGTTTTTCCCCGCAGAGAGCAAGAGAATGGATGCCTCAAGGTCTTTTGGTGAGTATTATATGCAGTAGACACCGCGCACATATGCTGCCACGCTGTTCGCGCAGTTGGGTCAATCGGCATTGACGGCACCTTGGATTCAGCGCAATGAGTGGGCGTGGCACCCGGAAGTTATGTGACTACAAATCCAGCCTCTCGCGCGTCTCTACACATTATTATTGCGCAGCAGGATATATGCCGCGTCTTCTTTAGTCACCAAAACTAATGTCGCGTCTTTAAATTTTTTGCGCACAGCAATATAGTGGCGTCTTATAATACTAGTGGAAATGTTGAACATTGTTGGCGAGCGGGAGCGACCCAACTTGGGATTTGTCCGCGATGTTCGGGCTGCATAACGTGCCGTCAGCGCACAGCTTTCCTTTCGTGAAGCAAGACAGAGCTACCTGTCGCCGTTACATGCGTACTGCATATTGCCAGAACGGTGAGCAGGTGAGCAGTACGGTCCTTACCTTACGCTTTCAACGCTCGTCTGTCGTGGTCCACCAGGCAGCTGGCATGGCAGTAGGATAGGCAGCGATCGACCGGGCTGGCCGACAACGCGGCGTGTGTTAGCTGGTCCACCAGGCAGCTGGAATGTGCACGAGCAATCCTAGCGTATGTGCAAGTTGCAGCTTGGAACCATGAAGATTGGGAAGAGGTACAGCCTCGGTCAGTCACCGAAGGTTGCAGCGCATGCCGTCGAATGGAGGATAGGAGAGTTCTCTCGCTGGCGAGGCACCGTGTGTGAAAATGTGGAAAAAAATGTGGAAATGATTTCGGATAAAAAGAAGCGCGTACTAAGCCGCGCATGCGCACTTACACGACGGACGGACGGACCACGGACGTATATATATATATATATATATAGAAAATTCCGCTCGAAAGAAAGACTTGGTTGGCTCGCTCCCGCTCGCCAATAATAATGCAGCGTCTTTACTACGCTATGCGCATGCCTTCCATTTGGCGGTGAAAACGAATATTGGCGGGAGATCGTAGGTTATCCGATGTTTGTATGATGACGGAGAGTAAGATCAAAGGAATTCCAGCTAGTCCAAACAACGTACACGCGTAGTGAGCGCTTCCTGCTGAGTTTACGGGTAGTTATACCATAAAGAGGCCATACGATTTCCCCATACTTTAGCTGTATATCAACTCATTTGCAATTTTAATAATAATTTTTTTATTAATTAAATACTTTTTAGGGAAAAGGGGGGGTAGGGAGGAAGGGGGGGGGGGAAGGGGAAGGGTGGAGGAAAAAGGTAGAAGGGGAGGGGAGAAAAGAAAGGGATGAGGGAGAAGGGGAGAGGAGGGGATCGGGAAGGGAAGAAAAAGGGGGGGGGGAAAGGAGAGGAAGGGGAGAAAGAAAAGGGGGAAGGAGAGGTGGAGGAAGGAAGGAGAAGATGGGAGGGAGGAGAAAGGGAGGGGGGGGGGGGGGGGGGGGGAGGGGGAAGGCGGGGAGGGGGTGGGGTGAGGGAGCAAGAGGAAAGTGGAAAGAAAAAGAAGAGAGGAAGGGGGAAGGAAGGAGGGAGAGGGAGGGAGTGGAAGCTGGATAAAGGCGGCAGTGGAATAGGGGGGGGGTGGCTCGGCTTTTTGGGGAGGAGAAAGTAAGAGGAGTGAAGGTTGGGAAAGGAAAGGGGAGGGTGTTAGTGAAGGGGGGGAGGGAGGGGGTGGGGTGGGGTGGGGGGGTGGGGGGGGGGGGGGGGGGGGGGGGGGGGAAGGAGGGGGGGGAGGGGGGGGGGTGTGGGGGGGGGGGGGGGAGGGGTGGGGAAGGATAGGGTGTGGGGGGGGTGGGGGGGTGGTTGGGGGGGGGGGGGGTGGGGGAGGGGGGGGGGAGATGGGGGAAAGGGGGGGGGGGGGGAGGAGGGGGGGGGGGGGTGGGAGGGGGAGGGGGGGGGGGGGAGGGGGGGGTGCAAGGGTGAAAGTGGGGGGGGGAGGAGGGGTGGTGTTGAGGGTGCGGTGGGGGTGGGGGGGGGGTGGTTGGGGTGTTGTGGTGGGGGGGGGGGGTGGGGAGGTTGCAGGGTGTGGGGTGGGGAAAGGGGGGGGGGGGGGGGGGAGGGAGTGGGAGGAAGGTGGGGGGGGGGGGGGGGGGGGAGGGGGGGGGAAGGAAGGGGTGGGGGGGGGGGAGGGTGGGGGGAGAGGGGGGGGAGGGAAGGGGGGGGGGGGGGGGGGGGGGGGTGGGGGGGGAGGGGGGGGGGGGGAAGGGGGGTGGTAGGGGGGGGTGGGGGGGGGGGGGTGGGTGAGTGGGGGGGTGGGGGGGGGGGGGAGGTGGGGGGGGTGGGGGGGGTGGTGGGTGGGGGGGGGGGATGGGAGGTGGGGGGTGGGGGGGGGGGGGGGTGGGAAAGGGGGGGGGGGGGAGGGTGGAAGGGGGGGGGGTGGGGGGAGGGGTGGGGGGGGTTTGGTGGGGTGGGGGGGGGTTAGGTAAAAGGAAGGAGGAGGGGGGGGGTGGGGGTGGGCGGGGGGGTGGGGAGGGGGAAGGGGGGGGAGGGGGGTGGAGGTGGGTGGGGGGGGGGGGGGGGGGGGTGGGGGGGGGGGGGGTGGAATGGGGTGGGGGGGGTGGGGGGGGAGTGGGGGGGGGTGGGGGTGGGGGGGGAAGGGAGGGGGGGGAGGGGGGTGAGGGGGGGGGGGGGGGGGGTGGGGGGGGGGGATGGGTGGGGGGTGGGAAGTGGGGAAGGGGGGGGAAGGGGGGGGGGGGAGGGTGACAGAGTTGGGGTGGGGGGGGGGGGGGGGTTGGAGGGGGGGTGGGTGGGGGGGTGGGGTGGGTGGGAAGGGGGGGGAGGGGGGGGGGGGGGCAGGGGTGGTGAGGGTTGGAAGGGAAGGGTGGTGGGGGGGGGGGGGGGGGGGGGGGGTGGGGGGGGGGGGGGGAGGGGGTGAAGCAAGGTGGCGGGGGGGGGTGGTAGGTTTTTTGGGTGGTTTTTCGTCTCAGTTGAAAGTGGTGAAAAAACCACAGAGTGGGTATTAGGTAGTTTTAGTTATACGATAGTAGGAAATTGGCAGCGTGTAATGCAATTAGGGGCCTTTCACACTCTTTGTGTGCTGCTGTTCTTTACCAGAAGGAGGGATGTTTTCAGGCTAGAATGGGCAGAAATGCTCTAGTATATACGCGGTCAGAAAAACTAGCTAAAAACTGCTTCCGACGCGTAGGCTCCGGAGAGATGGACCAGTATGTGACTTTCAGCTTTCTTGCTACTGCAACAGGCTGCATTCGAGAGCGCTGGGTATAGCGGGGGAGAGAAAGCGAGCCAGAGCGGCAGCTACAAAACTCGCGTGGAGTCCAGCAGCGAAAAGTGACGTACTTGAAACGTTGAACTCTCGAAAAAATGAACCATGGCTTCTGCACAAACCGCCCAGCTTGACCAAACTAAAGCGCTTATTGCAGCTGTCTCTCCGCTCCGATCGGTCGCTAGCTCTTGCTCTCCGGCCGTACACTCGAGGGTGTGCGTGTAAAAAGAGGGCATTTGAAAGCTTTTGTGCGGATCTCATTGGTCAGAGCCTTACCGCGGGAAATGTCATCATACAAACATGTTATACGATGGGCTTGCTTGTGGTTTACTGGTTGTACACTCGTGGCTTCAGTTTTGATAGACCACTCGGGCTACGCCCTCGTGCCCTATCAAAACTGGCCACTCGTGTAAAACCAGTAAACCACGCACCGCCATCGTATAACCTATACGTGCAAGATGGCTTTACTGGAAATTGGCCCTGTCGTGTTTGGTGGAACACCTGGGATTATCCAGTATATGAGGACTCATCACCTGCTAGCAACACAGCAGAACTGCAGC